AAAAACTACATCACAAAATGTAGTTCAATGGCATTAATTCAATTTAAGGCAGCACAGCATTAAAAAGTGGCATTATTCTATTATGGAAATCACAGCATGGGTTCATAAACAGTTACAGAAATCACAGTTTGCATGCCATCCACAAATACAGGTTAAAGCTCTGTGATGCAAAGAAAAAGCCATATGGGAACATGATCCAGAAACACTACCGTGTTCTATGGGCTAAAGTTTGTTTAAAATGGACTGAGACAAAGTAGAAAACTGTTCTGTGGTCAGAAATCGGAATTTTGAAATTGTTTTTGAAGAGCCTGGAGAAGGAGCACCCCTATACCATTCTCTGATGGCATAGGGGTGGATTAGCGGCTATGAAATTGTCGGCTTGCACATCTGGAAAGGCACCATCAATGCTGAACGGTTCTACAGGTTTAGAGCAGCACATGCGTCCATCCAGATGAAGTTTTTTATAAGGGATGCCTTGCATATTTTAGCAAGACCATGCTAAACCTCATACTGAATCTATTAACTCAGTATGGCTTCATAGTAGAAGAGTCCAAATGCTGAACGGGCCTGTCTGCAGTTTTCACCAGCTGAAAACATTTGGCGCGTTATGACATGAAACATATGATGAAGAAGATCCAGGACTGTTGAGCATATAGAAGTCCAGCAGCTGCTCTCCTCACATCCCAGACATTTATATACTGTTGTTAAAGAAAGAGGGAGTGCTATACACAGTGGTACACATGGCTCATGACACAATCTAAATCACTGTTTCTTATATATGTGTAAACAAGCCAGGTGAGTACTGATATTGCAATATTTTTTCAAACTAAAAATATGTGAATGATTTCTTTACAGCTGATGAATCTGCAGTTAAGTCCAGAAAGAATAATAATGTAGGCTTTTATACTGTTTAATCAATTTTTTTTTATAATAGTGAAGAGAATGTACTGATTTTTTACAGATTTATCATATTTCAATATCTTATTTTCCACGTCCCCGATATTTTCGTTTTATTTTCAGTTTGATTGAATTTAATCTACAGTTTTGATCTCCAGCTTTTGATTTGTGAGCTCAGATTAAGATCAGATCACATTATTCGTATCCCTGTTCCTGCTGTTATACATCATTCTGCCATAATCCAAAACATTCTTTGCAAACAGTAGCTTAAAGTAAAGAGTCTGAGTACAACTTTCACCATTTGATGTCATGAGAAAGAAAACTCACTGGAGACAGTGAGATTTAGGCTCACTCAGCCCTCATTATGCATATTTGGGGGTCCAAACACCTTATGTAACACAACCCTCTATTATGGTTGTGTACAGACTGGTGACGTCTGTCAGTGTCTCTTCCAGCCTTCTGCTTCATCAGCCATATCACTGTAGACTACATGAACCTATCTCCCTCTCCTCAAAACTTTGTCTTTCTTTTCCAGCGCAGTATCCCGATGAATTTCCCAACACTCCCATTCTGATTAGGGCCCCATTTGCAATTACGCACCACTCTTATCCCAGTATACATAAATAATGTAATTTTCTACGCCAAGTGGAACCTATTTAGGTCATGTTTCTCTTGGCACCTGAGAGTGTCTCCATCATGTAGAAAACCTACAAAAAGCAGACATTAGTTCCATAGCTGATGAGTGAATAACAGAGCTTGGGGCCAACAAAAACAATCTGCTGTGCATGGGTTGAACTTCACCCTTTGCTGTATCTTAAAGTGGAGTGCTGAGAGAACAGTGTGTGGGAGGGGGGGAAAAATTAGTGCTTTGACTTCATCAGCCCTGCAAAAATTTTGTTAAAAAAAAGAAAAAGAAAAAACTTAACTGATGTTTTGACCTTTGACATGCCAGATGCAGTCGATGCTTATTTAAGCACAGTGGACAAGATATTAGTCATCGCAGGCCGTGTTGGTGTCGTTCACCTTGGATAAATGTCTTCTGAGTCAGTGAGCTTTGCCCTGCATGCCCCATCAGAGGGGAAAGACTGAATACACAGGATTTAGCGCGTAGCTTAAAGCCCTCATCTGGATTTGTTGCACAGCGTTGCAGCAGTGTGAGCAGAGATGCCAAAGCCTCAGTGAAGTGACCTCTTTGAAGGTGAACCCAAAATGTTTTGCGGCTATTTTCTCATCTAAATTCTGCTTTATCCCGCTTTAGGCAGTATCAGGCAGGCAGCCAGTGTAGACATTCAAAGCCTGACAGGGTGTTTTGCTTATTGAAACGGGCATAACATTATGAAAAGCGTTTGGTTTTTTTGTTTTCTGTTTTTTCCTTTTTTCTTTTTTTGTATCTATCAGCTC